TAATATTTTCTAACAATATTAAATAATAATTTTCTCAGCAAGATTTTATACTTTAATACTCAATACAATTAAAATTCCAAAATATTATCTAGCAAAATTTGCTCAAGATAATATTGTTAATAACATTATGTAAATGTTGCTTTAAGACGTCGTAATCTTGTTTAAGTTTAATACCCAATCAACTGTTTGCTAAATCCTAAGCTATTTACCTTAACGGTAACTGCAACTATTTGTCGCAGTAGCTAAGACAAATATGGAGTTGGTAAGCTGAAATTCGATTACCTCGAGCCAAAGCAGCAGCTGAGCTGCAAATGAAATTGCAATTGGGGCTTGGTTGATAACTAAATTTTGGATTTGCTGCATTGCAATTAAATTGTTTTGCCTCTAATTAGTAAACTGAGCAACGTCTATTTGCTGACTGTTGATGGGCATTCAGACATTAGCATGTCCCTAGCAGATGATACTTCGAGTGAATTAATTGAAAATCGAGTTGAATAAATGCGTTGAGCATTTCGATTAAATTATATACGCCTTAAATGTGAACCTCAAGCGTTTGGCCAACTGCTTAGTTTGTTGCTCGACTTAAGCTATCCAGCTGAGTGATGTTTTGGTATTGTGCTTGATGTGGTTAGCCTGTTGCTGTTGCTGTTGTGGTTGTTGTTGTTGCTGTTGGCCAAACAACAAAGCTGCTTAGATAATCTGTCAGTCGCAGCGCCGGCGAATGCGGCGTATGCGTAATTTCATCAGCTGCACTTGAATCAACTTAAAGCCTGATGAAATTATAAGCCGACTGAAGTGGGCCATTGCCGCACTGTGTTCTAGCTGTATGAAGAGAGGAGGAGTAGAGGAGTGGAGGAGTCGAGTAGTCCTTTAAATGTCTTTAAGTCCATTTACTATTTTTGCATTTTCAATTCACAAAGCTGCGGCTTGGGTAGCCCAAGCGAAATGCTCCAGCTACGGCAGAGCAGTTTGATAAGGGTGTGTGTGTGTGTTTGCTAGAGTGTGTGCTATAGCATATCTATGTGTGTGTGTGTGTTTGTAGCATGCTCTGCGGCTAGCAAAAGTTTGAAGCTACAAGCAGCCGCAACTTTTGCGCGACGACATTTCCGCTGGGTCTTGGCAGCAAATTATGCGGCTGGCAGCACAGGCAGAAAGACCGTCGACCAGGCAGGCAGTCTGTCAGTCAGTTCGGCAGTTCGGCAGTACCTCGCTCAGTCACTCAGTTAGTCAGCACCTGCTGCGTGCTGCTGCGTGCTGCTGCTTCCTGCCAGCTTCACGCCCTGCGCCAAAGTGAGCGATGGCTGTAGTTGTCGCCTGGCTGCTGTCATATTATGCTCGCCATGTAATTTGTATAGACGGCAAGCGTTGGCGTTGTAATTTATGCATTGCCCCAAACGTATCCATCAATCCAATCGCATCCAGCTCTGCTCTGGCTGCCTATCGCACGAGTGCTCACAATAAACACAATTAGCTGGCATTAGCATTGCGCATTAAGCACATTTGTTTGTTGTTGTTATTGTTGTTGTTGTTGCTGTGCCGGTGGCATTACAACAACTTGCACCACATGCTGCAATTATGCAGCGTTTTGTGGCATGATTATTACAATTTACAAAATGTACAACGCACTTACTAGATCTGACCTAGCTGCATGCCTAGCCGAGAGTAGTTTGATAGCACTCCATGAAACATGATTATAGACAATATTTGTTTGCATGCCATATGCTGTAACAATATTTTATCAAACAGATAATCAAGTGAGCTGAAAGTTGTTGAATTTGTTTGAAATTTTTAAGTACAGTATTGTAGGCTACAAGTTAACTGTTTGGTTGTTTTGTTTACTAAAGAAAAAAATAAATTTTATAATTATATTGATTTTATTTGTTAGGTATAAAGTTAAATAAAAAGTTAAATAAAGTTAAATATATAAAAAGGAACTGAATCTCTTTAATTTAATTTGCTGTTTCTTTCATACTCAAGTTCCATTTTATCTTCTCTTCAACTCTCACGTCTTTGCTCTCCTTCTCTCCTCTTTACTACTTAATATTAAAACTACTACTACTACTACTATTTTATATACTTATATTATATATTTTATGTATATAAATATTGTATGTAAGTATTTCTTTTCGCTAGAATTTATCTTAATTTTTTTTACTGCATTGTCATTTCAAAATCAGAGATTTTTCAAGCTAAAACTATTTAATGCATCTGATCTTCTAGCTATTTTTTAGCCAACAAAGCTTAAAATATATGTTTTGATTTTTTATTTTAGATCGATTTGCAGAATTTGCAAAATAATACATATGGAAATTACTGCAAACTGGCTCTGAATTTTCAATATAAAATTCATAGGAAAAGCTGTCGAAAACATTTAAATCTAGCTGTTTTTTTCTGTTTCATTTTAAGCATAAAATTTTTTTTTTATAATAATGTAACAATTTTTATTAAATTTTAGCTCGATTGCTTTTTTTTACGGCAACTAGAGTCAATGAAGCTGAAAAATAGCTATTAGACGATTTTTTTTCAGGTGAGCTTTCAGCTAGCTCCTATCAGGCTTTTCAGCATTCAAAGAAGAAATAATAATTTGAATAGTAATAAAATAACTTTAATTATTAGTTTGAGAGCAGATTAAGTTTATTTACTCAAATGTAGCAGAGTTTTTTATTTACTTTTTAGCATAATAAAACTCAGCTGCTAGCTTAGTAAAATTCTAGCCCAATTTCCGTAATACCCATTCAAGCGTATAGAACGTATAGCCAAAAAGCAGATTATGTTCAGCAATTAAATAAATGACAATATGCAATGCGTTGCATGCCGCTGCATGCAATGTGCCAATGTTGCACTGTTGCAATGTTGCCTGATGTCAAAGTTCAAATGATGAGTTCATCAAATGTCGTGGCGCGCACAAAGCGACACTCGAAAACAAAGCGCAAATACACTCAACGACAGACGACTCAAGTGCATTGTCTGCAGCTGTGTGGGTGTGCAAGTGTGTGCAAGTGTGTGCATGTGCATGTGTATGCAGTTTGTGTGCTAAACATAAACGCTGCATGGCTTCCCAGTTGCGAGCACAAATATTGCCAGCAGCTGAGTTGTTTTCTTCTTTTAATAAAGAGTTTAGACATGTGAGTTTTTGGGTGAATCGGGAAGGGAAGCATTCAGCACCCGCTGATGTTATGACAAAATGTTACACTGACACTACATTAGATTGTTGCACAAGCTGAAAGTTCTGCTTACACATTTTTTGTTTGTTTTTTTGTTTTTGTTTTTTTTTTTTTATGCCTAGGTGCATAAGTAATGCGTTTTTCAGCAGCTTTTCTTTTTTGTTGCTGCTGCTGGGCATTGTCAACGGGTTTTTCAGCGCGCGCACTGCTTTGTGTCGCAGACAAATGCCCCTTGGTGCGACGTGTGGCACGTTGCACTTGATGATGTGTCTATGTCAGGGCTCTCCCCATCTCCACCTCCCACTCTCACCCTCTCTCTCTCTCTCTCGCTTTGTGACCGCCAGTTGCCATCATTTGACCATAAACTAGCTTTTGCAGGCGCCACAATCAGCCCGCAGTGTATGCAACAACTGTTTGGGGGCCATTCTCGACCCTCAACTCACCCCCCCGACTCTTCGACTCCCCGACTCTCCGACTGCCTGACTGTTGACTGCTGATTGTCGCCTGTTAGCTGTTGTTTGTGCCAACTGTCAAATGTTGCCGGCTAGCGCTTTAGTTAAAGCATTGCCATTGTCATTGCACCTGACTCCTGCTGCCGAGTCCATTATCCTCAGTGCAGGTGCAGGCGAATGCATGTGTGTGTGTGTGTTAATGATAGCGGAAGTGCACTTCATTTAATTAATACGCTTATAATTGCACACTATATATATGTGTGTATATTTATATATATGTATGTATATGTATATTTATACATGTGGTGCCTGTGTTTGCTTTGCTTGCATGCAACAGCAGCCATTTATTAACGTAGTTGGCTTGAATATCACTTGAGCTGAGAGGTCTTCCACCTGATTGTTGAGCCAATACAAATGCGCATTAAAACACATACATATATTTGCATGGCAAATTGATAGAGTTAATAAACTCTAGAGTGACTTTTGCTAGATTGGATAATGAATGAGCCGAATGAGAAAGAGAGAGAGAGAGAGAGAGAGAGAGAGAGAGAGAGAGAGAGAGAGAAAAATCAGAGTATGTAATCAGATATTCAAGATAGGATGTCTGTTGATTTGTCTAGTTGATATTGCTAAGTGCTTCTGCTCTGTATTTCCGTCTCTCGCTCTCTCTCTTCTTTTTTTAATCTATGATACTCTCGCTCATCCTGTATTCCCGGAATTCCCTCCCTCTCTCTATATCTGTTGATTGCGTTTTGACAAGCCTTCCGTTTAGCTCCGTTTTCCTATCTCTTTCCCTTTTCATGTCCTTCTGTATTATCTCTCAGTCTCATATTTTTTCTCTATCCCTTCAAGTATCATCTATTCCTATCCCTATAGATTTATCCGTTTCCCACTCTCTTTATCATTGTCTGACTCTATCAGTCTTAGCCTATCTCTCTCTTTCTCTTTTTATATATTATTCCCTCTCTATTTATATATCTGTCTCTATCTATTTATCTGTCGTCTCCCCCCACTCTTTCTATTTCATGATTTGACTCTCTCTCTTTCTCTCTCTCTCTCTCTCTCTGTCTCACTCTCCATATCAAACAATCGATTCTCACCAAACATAGGAAACTTGGATAGTTTTTCAAGGCTGTCAAAACAGTTCTCCAATATATATTCACAATATATATCCAATGAACCGACACAACTGTAAAATCAATTGTAAGTGAAATACAAAAGACACTTTCCGATCCGTTAAAGTCAGCGACAGAAGTTGGGTAATTCATTTCACATCGCATCATACCAGCAGCATTCAAGCAAAGCATTCAACATGTCCTCCGGCTCATCCAATATTGATCCCAACGAGTTCAATGAGATCAATGGGGCAAATGCTGGCAACTCGGAAAGGGAACACCATAATGAGGCAGAGGAGATGCCACACCCGGAGATGCAGCACCCGGACATGTCGGGAGCAACGCCGCGATCGAGTCATTCAAGGGGCGCCAGTGGGCAAGGTCGACGCATCAGGCAGCGGATGTTGACGCCAGGGATTGGCAATCAGTATCGCATCTGGGTCTATCATCCGATGCATGAGCCGCACCCGAATCGTCATACCCTCAATCGCATCATATTCTCGATAGCTCGAGCCTTGCGCACCCGTCGCTCTGTTCCGCCCCAGCCGGGCCAGCGTCCCGGCGTGATCTACAGACGAAACGCTGATCTGATAACCATTGATGTGGAGCGGGAGTAAGTGCTACTGAGCTCAGATCAAAATAACGCCTAGCCTCTTTCCCCTTATATATAATACCTGAAGCTTTTCTAGCTATGGACGTTCCTAGCGCGGTATTTTTTAGTCAAGATAGCGCCGTGATACTATGAATACTAGACATACATAGAAAATCGCATAAATAAATTCATGAATCGGATTTCGTGGGGTTTTTCACATGTCAAGTAAGTAAAGTTCTCATATATCTCATATATATACAAACATATATTATATAGTATATTATTATTGTATATTATATTATCGTTGCGGTTTCCCTTTTGCATTTTCTAGCTATAAGAACTGATCGACTACTAATAGCAAGTTAGCCTGGTACATGAGAATTGTCTATGGRAGATTATAAATTTATTATAATTATTTTATTTAAAGCTGAAAAGAGAAAAAAATGGTTAAAATTTTGTTTGGTGAATGGCATGCTTAGTCATTGACAATGCAAGTTCTAAGTTCTAAAAAATTAAAAAAAAAAAAAAGCTAAAATGTATAAAGATTTGAGAGATTTTTCCTTGGGGTTGAAGAACTGAAGCAAAAGTCTATTTATGATTGGGTTGTGATTGCTTTCAAATTGAATTAATAATTTTTTTGAATACCCTGTACTCATTGAATATGGAGTATAAGAGTTTTTTACTTATATAGATTTTTCTTAAAGGTGAAGCATAGACTTGGGAGAAAGGGTCTGTAGACCGACTTTCTCTGTTTCTATGGATGTCGGCCTTTATATTGTCTCTATGTGTGTATAACTATCTCTTTCTATCTATCTGTGTGTCTGATGTCTGCCTATCTATTTGTCTGTCTTTCTTTATTTATGTCTATCTATTTATATATATGCAGGTATCTCTGCCTCTGCCTTACCATATGACCGGACTAAAGCACCTGTGCTATAAATTCTCATTCAAGTACAGGGTATTTTTTAGTCAGGCATAACCTACAGCATAACATTTCATCGACTTGGTTTAAAAATGAATATATGCTGTAATTTGATTTCTTTTTGTTTTTTTTTTTTTGGTAAATTTTCTACTAATTGGTATTACAAATGGCATTGCCGCAATCAACGTTTGACATATATTTGTCAGATTGAATTACATGAAGAAGAAGAAGGAGAAGGAGAAGGAGAAGGGGCAGAAGTAGAAGCAGTGAAAGAATTCGAGTTGTATAATGAAGGCACATCAAATTTCAGCATAATTTAATCGAGCTAATTAGGCAGCTGTTGTACGAATCAAATGAAATACATGTTGCAACATGTGGCACACTCACACACACACACAGCCCCAATTATATAATTAGAATTACATGGTAATAAACATTTCGTAATGTGCAAAGCAGCTTTTTCCTCAGCACTTCGGAGTCACTTAAACTAATGTGCAACAAATTTTTATTTGTGGCAGCGTCGCCGTCGTCGTCATCGTCGTCGTCGCTCGTCGAAGCCATTAAAAGTTATTGCTGTTAATAACCAATTAAAGTGCAAAAATAAACATCAATTATTGGGGCGTGGCCGAGGACGGGGCTGGGGCCGGGGCGAAGCAGTCTGTGTAAAAAGCAGAGCTCAACTTTTTTCGGCTGTGTGGCAAGTAACTTCGAGTGTGCCACTCGGCATATGCGATGCATGCAACCAAGGTTCTATATGTGTAAGTAATATGCGCATGTGGCATGCTGGAAATTTATGCACATTGTTGCACAGCATATGCCAAGCACCACTGAACGTGTGCCACTGACTGTGGCATAAGTAATCAAGCTGAACTTCAGCTGCAACCGCCCCCCCCCCCCCCTCTCTCTACCCCTCCCCTGCAGCAGCTCAAAAGTGGCAACTAAGGTGGCAACTAAGCACTATTGGCCATTTGCTGGACCAACTTTCAATGTGCAACTGCCAAGTAAATGCATGATAAATGTTTTTCAAGTGTGTCAGTGTGTGCTTGTGTGTGTGTGTGTTTGCTTGTTTGCATGTATGTGTGTTTGCATGTGTGTCTTAAGCTGCTCTTTTAGAAAGCAAGGCAACATATGGACATATGCTAAGTGTTGCAACTGTGTGTGTGCTTTGTCTCCTTCTTACACACTATGGGAATTATCGTAAAATAACAATTTCTTGCTGCCAGCTGCAAATATATATGCATATATATATTCTATATACATATATGCAAAGATCGATATGTGTATGTGCTTTAAAGTCGTTTTCTACTTCAATAATTCAACAGAAACATATTAAGTTCTTAGAGTTATAGTTAACAGATCTTTTAAACTTGATTAACAGCTGTTAACTTTGTAAGATTGATTATTCATATTAGCAGTTCAGCTTATCTAAGCTCTAATAAGCAGCTATTAGCCGAAGCTGCGTAGCCATATGGCCACATATTGTTAGTTGTATTGAGTTTAGAAAAGATTAGCTATAGGGGAGGAATACTTAACAGCTGTTAACTTAACAGCATATTAGGATCACATAATATGCAGGATATACACTTAACCGTATATAAGCCCCATAGGGCAGCTGTTACCTAACTAACTGGAGTAAGTGTGCTTAACAGCTGCTAAAACTCGGTTAAGAATTCTAACAGGAGCCACAAGACAGCTGTTAAGCTAAATACTTTTACATAAAAATGAGTTCATGCATGTGAAATCTACTTTACAGATGTTACTAGATACCTAGCGGAAATTCGATCTATAGATCGACAGATAGATAGGTATAGGTAGATATAGATCACAAATTAAAACCTGTTAAACGTAATCTGTAATGCTTTCACACGACAAATAATATAGTATAGTATAGAACTGCAAACTCTACAAGTTTTCTTCCAATTATTCCATTTCATCCCATTGTAGATCTGTGTGTCTAGAAATTTGAGCATAAGTCACACCTTGAGGCATTCACTTAAACAAGTGCACTTTAATATTATACACGTATCTAATAGATATGCTCCAGCATCTGCAAGTGGCTGTTCGAGTGTTTGCTAGCTGCTTTAATTGACATGCAGTGGGAATTTCTAGCTCTATCGCAGCCTATCTAGACCCCCTTTCTGGAGGCTGCTCAAGAGCAAACTTTGTGCTGGAGCTTTAACAAGTGCCTTCTGCGTAAATTTCGGACAGTTTTTTGCCTTTGCCGTTTCCTTTACTTTTGCTGGAGGGGTGAGGGAGGCGAAGGCATTTCCAACAAACTTTTGCAGCAAGTTAAACACGCTAAGGACACGAAATTGTCAAGGTGCGTCCTCCAAGCAGACGAACGAGCGGCTTGAGTATACAATAATGTACACTGCCCGAAAATGGTGCACACACATTGCGGCATCTCTGACATTTATGACAGTGTAGTGGCTGGTCGATGTCGTTGCTAGGGAGAACTTCTCAAGTTACGCATTCGCCGCGTGCTCGCCGAGCTGACAGCAAGTTCACTAAATGCTTCCCCTCGCTCAACGAACCACACCAAAATTCATGGTTTGCTAAACTTTGACAATCTAAACAGATTATATTCGTTTTGCTCAAACGGCATTTTAGTGTTAAATTTCGTGGAAGATTCGGTATTTCAATGAAATGGTTAAGAAGTCAATAGAGCGACTTGGTTGCTTGCTTGGTTGGTGCTTGGATTCATGAGTATTCAGATAGTATATTTATGGGTTTAATATATTTACATACAGCTATGTTTAAAATGTAGTAAATAGTAGTAGAAAAATGTCCAAGCTCATGAAAATAATTGTGATGCATATTAGTAGTTCATGACAGTTGTAGCGCTAAAGATTATTTGTTCATAAAAATAGTAGTGAAAAATAGTAGCTATAAATAGTAGCGAAAAATAGTAGTAAAAACGTAAAAGTTCATGAAATCAGTAGTTTTTTACTTTTTTTTCCTACTATTATTATTATTTTGAACGCATATTCTTTAATTAATTTATGGCCAAACGCTCACATCTTTTATAACATTGTTCAAAACATTTTGTTTTAGATTTTTTTTTTTTAATATCGTTAAGAGAGTTTAAAGTTTTTTGTTAAAATGAAACTCAAAACTTAGGTAAAATCCGTATACAAAAAAAAAAAAAAAAAAAAAAAAAATTGAAAAAATGTATAAAATTAATTAAAATGCCAAATATCTTTGTTTAGAAAAGATTTTGTGTCAGTGTAAAAAGTAGTAAAAATGCAATAGTGTATGAAAACAGTAATGAAAAGTTTTAAATTTGTAGTGCAAAATAGTAGTAGCGCACGAAATAGTAGTGAAATAGTAATGTAAGTGAGACCAATCATTCTACTTTGATGAGGACTATACCTACATGTCTATATACATATTTATTGTATATCCATTGCATTCCGTATAAATTTGCAGCTCGCACAGCTTGGTTCCTTTGCTGCTTTGACATCAACATATCCATTTAAGTGTTGCCAATTTCCAGCTCACTTCTTCTTGGCAGCTCGATCGCAAAAAAAAGGAGAGTGTTGCAGAGGTGAAAGTGCCACATGCCACATGACGAGGCAACAAGCATGTGTATCTGGGTTGAGGAAATTGCAATGCGAGAGAGTGAATCCAAAAATATTTGCGTATATAAAAATGCAAAGCAAGTGAAGAACGTCTGTGTGTGTGTGTGTCACCTGCTGTCAGCAAGCGGGTGACAGCAGCTTGACTGATGTCCTGATGAGCAGCAGCCTCATGGCATTGGCATAATTGAGTACAAACTGTCACAGCTTGCGGTTAATTAGTTGCACTCGCTGCTTGCCACAGATTGCAGTTGCAGTTGCAGTTGCAACGATCGCAATGCAAATACCCTGCCTAAGATGCTCGCATTGTTGGCTGCACGCAACGGACAGCAGACGGCAGGCAGCAGTCAGCAGTCAGCGTGCAACATTTGCGTGCCGCACAATGCCAAGCCAAAAATTCAATTAATTTGTGAATAAACGCAAATTGAATTGCGTTCGGCGTCGACGCGCGCCTGGCAATGCCGTTGACGGTTAGCTTTTGTGTGGAGCCTTCGGAGCGACCACAGCCCTGCCACACTCACGCCTCCTCCTGTCCCCTGTCCCCTGCCCCGTGTCCCCTGCCCCCTGCCCCCTGGCAGCGCCTTTACTGTTCACTGCCTCCTGGCGCTGCATAATTGCCAGTGACATGGCCGCACTTGCACTTGGTTTGGCGCTGGCGTGGAGCATGTCGACGCCATCTTTGACGGCTTCTTAATTAAAAGACTGTCAATCTGTGTATATGTGTGTGTCTCTCCCTCTCTGCGTGCGTGTGTGTGTGTGTGTGTGTGCTGGCCGGGCACAACAACCCGACAGCCGGGATATATAGGCAGCCCTATACAGTCAAACCATTCAGCTGGCAGAAGCCAACGAGCCTGTCACTAGCTGCCTGCCACCTCCTGCCTGCCGCCTCCTGCCTCCTGCTGGCTCCTGCTGCCTCGTTGCAGCATCCA